TCAATGGCGCGATGTATGTAATTGCACACTTAAAAGGTTTACGCACGAGGCGAATGTTGGCTGGCGACCAACTTTGTTGAAAGCGATTAGTTGAAAGTAGAATGCAAAGTTGAACAATGCAAACGCCTTTTTATGGCGAAAATTTTTATATTTTTTTATATTTTGATATTTTTAATCATTCAAATTTTTTTTTCGGGCAACCCGGCGAATGGTTAATATTCTGACAGTTGTATAGTCTCCCCAGAATATTAAAAGTGCGACATCAAAGAATTCGAATTACCATATTCGAAACAATCGAGCCATATCCGCGAAGGAAACGTAAGCTCCAAATTTTTTTATGTGCCGTTTTTTTTTTGTTTAATAAATACTGCATATTTTCCACAAACAAATAGCTTCTTCATATCCATCATCTGGCAAACAAATACAACAAAAAAAAAGCTGAAAGTGGACCATCCATTCTCGAGTTATGCGCTATCTGACGTACGCAAGTTTGGTATAACATAGAAATATTTATTTTCAATAACAATCGGGGGTTATATTCGATGCAAATAAGCTTGTTTAAATTAAATAATTAAATCAAATTCGTTTTTGTTTTAAAATACCACCATTCACTATTATCCACACCTTTTTATGGAATTTAGCTCCCATTTTAGGAAGTGTGATTGAATTCTTCCCCTTTTTCCCCTGCTTCCATAAACCATCCCTGTGGGTGGGAGTGCCAAATTTTAGAAAAAAGCTACTTACAAAACCTTTAATAATTGAATCATGATTGTTTATAATGACTTTTGCTCAAATTTCAAAATCAAAAGTTATCAAAACAAATTCTATGGGACTGAGAAATATTATTTTCTACTTTTTAGTCCATTTATAAAAGCGTTGTATATTAAAAAGTTTTTTTTATATTATTTATTTTTCACTTCAAATCTCACCAAATCATAAATGCAAAAGTATGGTTGACACCAGATCAGCTGTTTAGGTATTTATGACCAAATGGTTAAATCGTGTGAGTGAATGTGGACAATATTTGTCACTTTACTGGTGTGTGCATATGTGTGCCAAATCATTTGAATCTTTAGCAGCCAAATCGTCTCATCGCAAAACAAATCATTTGTACATCGCTATCTAAATGCGAAAATGTGGACAAATCTAAATTTGGCATTTTGGTACAAGTATACAAATCGTGTGATCCCTGCTTTAGTCCTTTTATGGGCCAATGGCAGAAATACTAAATCCATACATGCACATTTCTCAAGTATGGCTCCTAGTAACATGCATACGTATACACACCCTTTATGCACAGTATGTATATAAAATGGTGTCTGTCCTTCATGTTCTCTAGTGCACTAAATTTTCGGCACACGTTTTGCAGCAAATTGTAGCCTGGATAATATGGTCCAACCTTCTCAATTGATCATTTCCGTTTCCATTGCATTTACAAGAGCTTTTTCGCCATATTTTCTATTCTACGAGTAGTATGCAATACAACGAAGTACTGCTCTGATATAAATACATACACACACTCGCATTCGCCACAAACAATTGATGTCAACTAACTATGTACATATGTATTTGCAAAGAATTCGCACTTGCAGCATGCAGTTTTGCCAAGTCCAACAACAATGCACTGCATCCCATCTCGCACTACGCCCACACGGCACACGCACGCAGTCGGGTAACATTTTTACACACGAATACGCATCTGAGTAATACCGAAGAATGCTTGCATACATACAAGATATGGTATCTTACAAAACAACAGCTGAAACAAAGCCAACAAAACGTGACACCATATTCCGGTTATTGAACTGTCATGTCGTCAACAACAATAATAGTTTGTGCAACACCAACCAACAACAACCCAAACACAAAAGCATCGTTCACTATATCGTCGGTGATACTGCAAAACGTTCTATGTCACTTATTAATGTGTTGCTTAATTGATCTGTTATCTGTATCTGATCGCTTCTGGCAATCGGTCATCTTCATCAGCCAAAGGTAGACAGTTTTGTCATTCGTTATTTAGGGTGTAACGATTTGCAGATGCATACCGTTGCAAGTGAGAGCCCTTGTAAGTGTCAAGGATACTAATAGACATATACCGTTTTGCAGTACCACGGACGATATATATGACACAATATTACTCATCGTGCGCATTGGCAACATGTCGCTAGATCTATTGGCACGCGTTTTATATGTTGCTAACGGCATTGAATGCTCTCTTGCAAACGCACACACCAGCAGCATGCTTCAGCAATATGTTTAAATTTTATGAAAATGTTTCTAACACAACCTAACCCAACAATTGCCAGCGATGAGCAATATACATACATAGTACATATGCGCTAGTGCCGGCAACGCTGTTGTATATGTATATTGTTGTTTGCTTTGTTTTTGTTATCTGACTCCACTGCGTGAAGCTCCAAACAACAGACCTGGCTGAAATCAGCTGTGTATGTCGTTGCAGCCACGAGTGAGTGTGCTTTTGTTTTTGTTGCTCATTCGCTTTGGATGTGTAATGAGAACTTTTCGGTTGCTTGTGGGAGCGCATTTTGGGGCAGTTGATATACTCACCTTGATGTTCTTGAAAGAGTATCTACTGCTGGTGCTTTTCGTTGTCAGTGTTGCCATTTTGCTAATTGGTTTCGAAAATTAAAAAAAAAAAATATATATTTTTTTGGATTTTCATTAAAAAATCCGGCAGGTTCTGCATTTCACTTTCGAGTGAATTTGAGTCAAGTTCGCTTTGAATTCAAATTGGCAGGGGTTGAAATTCACTCGAAAGTGAATTGTAGAACGAGCCCGAATATAAGCATTGGCCCATATTCATAGTCAAAGTACAGTCGACTCCAAAAATTAGTTACAGCTTTTTGACATAATTTCCAAGAGAATATTTTTTAAAAAAGCTGAAACTAACTTTAGAGTCGACTCTAAATATGCCCCATTGTTTTTAAGAACGTGATATTTTCATTGGCTGTTTTAGAGCAGCCTTTAACGCAGTGCTATTAATTTTAAAAGCTCTTGGTTTGTCTTGATGATAGATGTATGTGTATTTCGGTGAAAGTAAAACTTGGAAGAGCTAAGTAATCAAGGTCTGGAAAAAATGTATTTTGCGCTGTATATTTTTTATGACTATAAAACGACAATCCATTGTGGTTAAATCGTGGTGAAAATTTAAAGGCGACCTGAAGCCAGATATGCATATTATGCCAAAACTTGTCTTCTCATATTAATTTTTTGGCCTTTGCTCTCTATTTCAAATTACTCATATAAACAGCATTTTTTTAGCAATGTTATTTAGCTTTGTACCACGATTTGTTTGTTTTTTTTCTTATTTTTGATACAAAAAGGCCTTCGATTTTCTGATTTTACTGGTGTACAAGAGCTTCTACTAATGGATTTGACTGATAAAGACAATGGTGATTTTTTCCATCAATGATGAGCACAATACCAAATGATATATATACTGAATAAGGCCTGTTGGTGTGTTTTAGGAAAATTGATGCAAATGATTCGAACGGGGTTTACTGCAAAGTTTTTACGTTGTTAATGTAAAAAAAAAACTTGTTTTCTCGATTACCACCCAAAGGAGTAATAATGTTTTCTTAAATTCGTTTTAACAGAAATGTCTTTTAATGAAAAACTAAAAAATAGCTTTTTATACCTTAACCGGCGTAGGCGCCTCGAGGCTGCCTTTCCTTTTTCACATCTGGTGCGGAAAAGAAAATTTATTTAACTTGACAATACCACTTATTCCAGTCTTACAGTTTTGCCGGTTTGAGGGTTAATGAAGTTGTCTTTTTTTTGAAACTTCAGTTTCAATTTTAGTATTCTGGAATATTTTACTATTCGATGCTAGGAACTTTCCGTTTTGTTTCTTCGCATCCCATTCATGTGATAATTTCTGTGGTCATAAGCAATAACCGCCTAAGTCGAAAAAACCTGAATTCGAGAAAAAACGTTTTAAACATTTGTATTGTAATGTTAGCCTTATGGGGAAACCAAAATATTTTCGCTTATAACTTTTTAAGTGGCCCACCTGGCGAGATGGGGATTTCACAGGATTGGTTACCTTATGTAGGGGACTATACAGTAATTCAATATAGAAGAACTGATCTGATAAGTAATTTAAATTCATCCAGGAATAAATTTTTCTCGATCAGGCAACTCTAAAGTATACATTTTATGGAATTCCTGGAAAGATTTAGAAAACTTGCTAAACTAGCGTTTTTTGGCTAAGATATGATCACATATCTGTTATTTTACTGCTCTGTGTCAAAAACACTGATGATATCGGTCAATGACTATTGGCGCATGTACATACATGACTAAATATACCTATCCTGATCCAAATCAATCGATAAACCGCTTTTTGACCCCATTTTACAATGTGTTTTCACTAATTTGACGAAAAATGCCACTGAATTTAACATAGTGAAAACCAGCCTTTACAAATAATATAACTTCAGAAGGCTCTTCACTATTTGAATATTCATTTCTGCTTCGAGGTACTTTCCAGCATAATTTTGTAGCTTACATTTTGATATGTAATTCTAATTATTTTTTCTATAAAAAATCTGGCTTCTTTGCTGCTCATGGCTATGCTCTCTTGTGAGCTCATCCCACAAGCAAACAGCAACCAACAAATTCTCAGCTACATTTCTCTGCGGACATTGTTTACCATGCGGCTTTTTGACTGCAGTGGTTGCTCCGCATGTTGGCTTTTCTCGGCCACAAGTTGGCTAGCTGACTCGCTGGCGATTGTTGTCGTCGTCGTCGTTGGCTTCTGCCTGCCACTGCTGCTTTGCCACTCTCTTTTTGTGGTTGGCGTACTCCAACATTACTTCATATGGCTTTGTGGGGTGTGTACGTTTGTGTGTATGTGTGTGTGTGTGGGGCATGACATGGATTTTCCGCACTCTCTGCCCATTATTAGTACGCTCTTATATGCGCGCTCATGTCTTGCGGATCGATATAATATAAAACGTTTTCCACTTTTCCATTTACGGTTCAGTCGAAAGCTTCAAATCGTCACGTTCACAACCGAAGGAAATCAGAAGAAAAGCGCATAAAGTTTACACATACATACGAATAGCAAAAATAAAATTGTATTTAAAAATTAAATTGCAAACTAATTTTGAAAGCTTCCAAGTTTTAATTAATAAATAAAGTAAGGCGCAAAGTAAAGCAACGAATATTTTACAACAAAAGCGCGTGCGAATTTTCTTAAAAACTACAGAAATATTTGACGCGTGCTTCATTAAAAAGTATTATCCTGCCGCGTTGCCAGCTGCATAGTATATCCTTTGCGTGCGTGTGCATCTGTAAACGGAATATAAAAGCAAAATTCGTACAAATTAATTAAAATTTAAAAGTGTGCGTTTCTTTGTGAGTTGAAAACTGAAAAACTATTAAAGACACAAAAGAGTTTGCAGCGAAAAATTGTGAAATATTTCAAAGGACTTGCCACAGAAAAGTGTTACCTCATAGCATCACCGAAATGTTTGGTGGTGATGTCGTATCAGATTTGCAGCCATGCGGCACACCGGCCTACACAGTTGCCTATTGCAGCGAAATGCCTGCATCTCAGCATCCCACAGCTGCAGCTTCGATAGCCACACTCACATCCTGTTCAAGGATAACAATATTTGTTTGATTGCTTGTTTTTGTCTGCTCGACTCCTGCGCGTGCTTTCTCTCTGGCGCTCTTTTGTCGTTGCTGTTGTTGGTTGGCCGAAATTCCATGGCAGCAAATGGATATTTTCTGGCTGTCATGCTCCTCTCCGCAGCCTTTGTGCATATCTCGGCATGTGTCGGCGTACCTTTCTATACAGAAATTGTATTGATTTTATGACTTCCTGCAAAAGTGTACGCACACATTTTTTTTTTTTTTACTAGAACAGCGCGACTTCGCATCCGCGTGGGAGGAGTTCACCAATGCCACGCCATTTGTGTTGAGTATTTGATGGCTTGCTTGGTTGGTGGCCTGCTTTTCAACGCGAGAAGCGTGCACCGGGTTTTTTTTACGGTCAGTCCTTGACATGAGACTGGTGACAAGGATACGTCAATGACACAGAAACACGAAAGAACATTTAAAGCAATTGACAGTTTGTAATAAAACCCAATTTTATTTGTCGACCCAACCCTTGAAATATTTCGCAATTTTTCTATTCCTCCACTTGGTTTGCAATCATTTACATATACATACGTACTATACAAAAAATGGGCATCTCCCTCATCAATTCTCACCTCAGACTTAATCATCTATATGTTTCTTCATGCTTAACTCTTAGATTACTTTCTTGAGAAAGCTAAAGAAACTTCCAGTACAGCACTTATCTACCTACATACATACATATGTACATACCTAAATAGGTAGATAGCTTCATAGCATCCGGCCAGTTTTCTTTTGGGCTACAAAAAGGAAGTCCAAAATTATCAACGTCAACTACTGACAACTCAACGATCATTACGTGTTTACGAGGCAATTGTGCAATTAAATTTAAATAAAAACAACAGCAACAACAACAACACAAACAAATAAGCAACGAAAATGGCCACATACGCTGCATTCAAACATGTTGAACTTTACAATGTTGGCAAAACTAAAAAGAGGTAAGCAAGCAACAAGCACTTAGCACAACTGATTAACTACGTACATACATACATACATATGTAAGTGAATCTGCTATATGTATTTGTGTGCCTATATGTAGCATTCATACTTAGCAAGTCGGCAGGGCTGGGTAGTTAGTGACTTTCCAATTCTACTTTAAACGTTAAACTAGCAATTAAAGTGAAAGGGCTTGAAAAAAATTTACAGCGAGCCAATTTACAAAATTGAAGCTTCTATTAAAGTTTTCATTCAACTGACTGCGAGTTTGCACATGCACTTGTATTGGCATTTTTTGTGTCATTCTTACATACGAACATACATACATACATACATCAAAGAGTGTAATTTTCATTTCGCATGAAAGTAGGTAGAAACAAACTATAATGATAAATTAATTCCTGTCAGTAATATCACTTTTTTTGGAATGTACGTCTAATTTTTCTTAACTGATGCATAATTTTTTTAATAAGATTTTTACTGAAAAAATGTACTGTGCCGAGCTAAATGGGACACAGATGGAATTTGTGAGCATTAAAGTAACTTTGATTCAAAATGGATATTAACCCTTATTTTTCTAAACATCAATGCACAGTCATTTTTAGCTCGATTTACTTAAAAAAAAAAAACAGGATATAGGCAGTAAAAAATGAGTCAGAAAAGTCAGCAGTTGTGTGCAGAAAAATTTAACGACCCCGGGATCCCTTGATTAACATTCGTAATACGTATGTTTAAAACTTTTTAAAAGATTCTGCATACCGGTATCAGATTAAAAAATGAAAACCAAAATCAAAACTTCAATTTTTGAAAGTAATTTTAAAGCTCAACGTATTTTTTACTGAATGGCACAATTTTTCCTGAATACTTCCTCACCTAAATAAACTATAAAATACCGTACAATTTATTTCGTTGTCTGTTCTCCTTCTGGCGATATTTGATTTTGTCACAGAAAAGTTAATTTTCCGCACTGTCTGTCACTATTCCAAATTTAAGATTAAGCACGACAGCACACTCTGATTTAGTTATAGCATTTTATTCTTGTTTGCGTAGCCCTAGTAAAACTTTCTGCTTAACATTTTTGTGGAAAATTTCGTTTCTAATTGGAATTTTTAATACAACTTGCAACTTTTTTACAAAACGATGCAAGGCGTTCAATTTTTCTAAGGAAAACTTCCTCGCTAAGTTTTCTTTAGGCCTCTGAAGACATGAGTTTGAAATAAAAATTATTCATATGTATTAGGGCGCTCCCCAAAATATCAGTATCATGAGGCACCCTTTTATTTTTTCTACGTTTCTACGATTTCAAGTAAAAATTTTGTCGAATTAATGTTTAAAAATGTTTTTTTTTTTCAAACCCTGGTAATGACCACTTAGAATTTAATTAATTTTTTTTTTACTATTCTGGTGCCTCATCTATGAAAAATTTCCCTTGCCTTTCCTTTTTCCCGATAATACAGGATCAGAAATTTGTGTTTGATTTTTGTTCCACGGATGCCGCTATCATTTGTCCATATAGAATCGCCCACTGATTCCAAAAATTGAGTTAATTTTTTATTCTATGGACACGTTTTCGAAATATTTTCAAAGTACCGTTATTCAACATAAAACAAAAGGTGGTTCCACTTAGTCACTTATATCTCATGAACCAATTTAACAAACTGAAAATGAAATACGACAAATGAAAGCTATCAAAATTTTCCATATACCGTCTATACATCACTTGACACTGACAGTTTATGACAAATTAATTAATCCTTCTAGTTTTTGCCTGTTCTGTTACAAACAAATCAAGTTACTAATGAAGCAAATCATTACATAAATAAAGAAGAAATCAGTGGTCAAATGAAAATGCGCAAAAATTTTTTGTATGAAAAATGCGCAGGAAATAATGCTGCTCATACGCCATGTACACCTTAGTAGCACGGTTTTATGCTCGTTGCGCATTTTTATTTGACCACTACTCATTACTTCTTTATTTATCCATCGATTTTCTTCATCAGTGCCTTGATATTTTTATAACAGAACGGGCACAACTGTAAAAATTTGACACAGAACCTGTTATATTTTTAATTTTCTTCTGTTAAAGTGTTTTTTTATATTTCCATAAAAAAAAAATCTGGAATGATTAATTAATTTGTCAGAAACTATCAGACCTGTCGAAAAGTTGAATTTCTTTAGCTTTCATTTGCCGTATATCATAGTAAGGGCCATTTTCTGAAGTAACCTTTAACTTTAAAGCTCCTTCATGTTTAAAGGTTGGATAAGAAATAAAGCTGTATCTAAAGTTAAGCATTTCTATTATTGGTTTTGACGTATGTATGTTTCTTGGTTGTAAACCAATTTAAAACCGATAATAAAATGCTTTACTTTAGACACATTTTTACATTTCAATGCAACCTTTAAATATAAAGTGAGCTTTAAAATTACAGCTTACATGAGAAAACGGCCCTAAGATTGGTAAATCGGTTCGTAGATACAGCATCACCACCACTTAAACACTTTTTGTTTTAAGCCGAATAACGGTAAATGGAAAATATCTTGAAAACTTATCCATAGAATAAAATATTAAGTAGATTTTCGGAATCAGCGATTTTTCAAAACATTCGACAGTTTTTCAGGCCTATTTTGTTAATAACCGAATAAGTTTGCGGACCACTTAGGGAATATTTTTCACAAAAGTTTTTGGCATTTTCGTTTAGCTTGGCATTTTTCCTCTGAAAAAGTAGAAAATCATGATACATACTTTTCTATCGAACAAAATTTTCAGATTAAGTAGGTTGGAAAAAAATTGGAAAATAATATCCTTTAAGTTTAGGCCGTTTTGCATTTCTCTTTTAATTTTTGTCTTTATTTTCCTATGAAAACATTGTACATATAATTAACTTATTACATTTATAGCGCCGCATTCCGCCGTAAATTTCCAAAACCCCACCCTATTCCATGGTAAACAAAACCACATAACTTTGCCGGCTATCGATTGAATGCTCATTAAAAACACATTCATTTACCAACATTTATCGGTAATAAAATCTTTGCAATATAAAGCGAATAGGTATACTCGTAACAACATAAACACACACACCCCTCTAACGGCTAAACGCCCTCAATGTCTACAAAGTTATATACATAGCTTATCATCTGCGTATGTAGTATTTATGTTAACACTTTTGTTTAGCCACAAACTGCGGGAAAACATGCCTTGAGTGCGCGCACCCACACCACCAAACTACTTGACCCCGATAAATGTAGCAGTCGGCGGCAAGCAGGTAACAAAAAGCAACAAAGCAGCAGCAGCACTTGAATGGTTGAAAAACTAGGTAAGGATGAAATCAAAAGAGTAGCGAAGAAGAGGGTATATACCCATAAGCCATATGGTTAACCCTCACAGGCTTTTCATGTACTTACTTGCTCCCCTTTGAGTTGGCATTTTTTCTCGAATTTTACGGTAAGCAAAGCAAGCTCGTGGAGTGTGTATAAAATGCAACATTACTACGCTCATTAGTGGGCGTGCAGCAGCGTTCCCGTTTTGAATTCAAAGAAAAGTACTATAAATACATTATTATCCTACCACAAGTACAGACATGCGAGGGTGGCTTACTAATATGGCTACACTTTGTATTACGAGTCCACTGTAGTAGTCGGATTTAAAAAGTTTGCTTTTTTACTTTCTTTCCTTCCGCTTAAACCAACTGTCTCTCAACATTTTTGTATATGCGAGCCTTCATACGTCAGCCGGTCATTTTTCACTTAACTCGCTTTCTGCCGGTATTCATTTATGTCTGTACGTTTAAAAGGTATTGTGTCCACTTCGTCAGCTGGCGCTTCATTGCTGTATTGCGTGTTTTCGCGCGAGCGTCCAGCGCAAGAAGAGCACCAGGCTGGGCGGGTGGTTTAAGCGATGTTCTTGTGAAACACGCGACTTCTGTTGCTCGCACGTTTTTTGGTTTACCTAAACGTCACTTTCATGTCACGAAGTTATGGATGACCAATGAAAGTGGAAAGTGGTTGTTTGCACCGGCGAGGGGGGTGATTTCTGTTATGGTAATATGACGCATTTAGAGATTTGTTTTCGATCTATTTTTTTTTAGTATGATTTTTTGGCTTCCTGTCTGTTTTTCTGTCTCGTCAATCCATCAGAGCGGCAGGTAGTGTGGCGGCTTCTTCTATTACGAATGATTTTAATACACTTTTAAACAAATTTGTATACTACAGAGGTAGATAATAATTAAAATTATCTCCAGTTAGGTAATTATCTCTATAAAGCAATATTTCGTTGAATTCTCATATAATATTTTAACTAGTCATTTGTCGCAGGTGTAGTTTAAGATGCCATTTTACACAAGCTTAATAAAAATTTAAGATTTTTAAAAGGAAGTTAGTTTTTTTTAATATGAAGTTAAACCTTCTAAAGTCGATAAGCTGTTTCGTCAAAATTCCACAGAATGTATATCTACTCTTGAGCTTTTTCTTTATATTCGAAAACAAATGTTAATACTCGTAGTATTAGAACCGAAGAATAAAGGGATAACGATGCATTTTGAAACGAATTTCCAGCTCCCACATGAAAACAGCAGAACGTTTTCAAACCAAATATGGTAACAGATTACCATTTACTGATGTACTATATTTAAGTTTCTTCATATTCCTTACCGTCTAGTTTGCAACCGGTTTTTGGTGAGGCTTTTGGGACGGTAAATGCCAAACTTTAATATTTTTCCGCTCTAAAACGCAGTAAATTATAATCAATATTGTCAACTTTTCAACAGAAAGACACTGCAACACATCGTGAGTTCAAAATTATGCTAGATTGTCTTTTATTTACTGGTCTCCTTAAATAGCTACAACCATCAGCGTAAAAATTGTTAAATACAGGCTATTCGCAAAATTAGATACATTTTGTTTATACATTTTAGTGGTTCTTGTGATTTTTGGTAATACCCCGTTTAGAGCGCCACCTATCGAGCAAACAAATTCATTACATAATATACCAATATATCAATCA